AAAAAGAAAGAAAGAAAGAAAGAAATACTGGCCGGGGATTTAGCTCAGTGGTTTCGCTGCCTGCTGCGCAAGCGCAAGGACCCGAGTTCGATCCCCGGTACCAAAAAAACCCAAAAAAACCCAAAAAGAAATACTAGCATTTGATCTGTTAAAATCACATTCCTGAAGGCAAAACTATACACTGTACTTTTTTTTCAAAACCACATTATTTTTTCTTCTAAAATGTTGCTTTTTGCAATTGTTTCTACTTGTGAACACATTTTAATTGTGTCAATAAATTTTCAGCTACAGTAATATTGTAAACTTAACTCAAACTTCCCAGAAATGTTTATCGAATGGGAATTACCTAGGCTGACAATTTAGCTAGTTGTTCTGATATTCAAACCTTTCTGAATTGTGTCTCACCAATATTTTCACTCAGTAAACAGTTCAAGTTTAAATGTTCAAAAGTTTAAGGTACTTTTGAGAATTCAGATTTTAGTTCCAAAATTTAAGAATAAAAAGTGATTACCTCTGATTCCTTGAGAATATGCTAAACAAATGACGATACAAAAATCCTATAATTGTTTTACAAAGTAACTGCAATTAAACATTAATATCCAAAAAAGATCCAGATAAATAATACAGAAAGTGACAACTGTGGTGTAATTTCACGATCTCATACCTCGGTCGAGTCAGAATGTTCAATTTTCTTTTAAGTTCTTGATGTTATCACTTGTCAAGGAATATTAACACTCATCCTGTCATAAAGTTCAATGTTACCGTGACTCTCGCTTTTGGCATCAAAACGTTGTAAACATAAAAGAATCCCAAATATTTTGAGAATGACATACCTATTTGTTTACAAGCCAAGACATTCAACCTAAAAACCAAAATATAGTTTTCATGCCTTTGAACATATAGTCTAAGACATGATACTAAAGTTCAAAAGAGACTAACAGACTAAAACAAAAAATGTTACTCAAACAATGGTATCCCTGGCATAAGCTTAAACATCCAATTAGGAAAGTTTTCCAAGTTAAAGCATCACAAGTGATAACTGCTACCTAACAAACGACAGGAAAACAGAATGGAATCTATGAATGCTCACTGTACAGTTCTTTCAACTTTTTAAAAATATTTATTTCGAACTTTTTGATAATAAAATGTCAAGGAAAATAGTATCAAGCAAAAAAATCATACTTCAAAAACCTTAAAAGCTGGCTCAATACTAATTACTTTTAGGTTTCTTTACAGATTTTAAAAGGAAAGGTATCTGAGCCAAAATTATCTATGTATAAGTGGTTTTTAAAACCCTAAGAACGTAAATTAACGTAGTAGCAAATCTAGAAAATCTGTAATCGTGCCAATTTATTCGGCGCGTTTTCCTTAAACCACGTCAATGCAAGCTAGCTCCAGGTGCAAGAACTCTGAAATTAGTGCTCGATCTTAAGCAATTAACCGTTTCTAGTTGGACGCCCTGATTCCCAAGACACCCAACTTTGGATCCTAAGACCACGAGCGCCTGCCCCGCCATAAAAACTGATCCAAACATCCAGTGTTTACTAACATACAGCTGTGTCACGAGTGCCAACACTTGAGCGTGGCTGCAAGGAATAAAATGGGATAACGACCTCAAAGAAAGAGAAGTGGGGACCGGTCTGCAATCACCGTAAAAGACGGCACCCCCTTGGAGTGGATCTGGTCAGAAGGGTTCGCGGTAGCACAGCGGTCTGCGTGCAGGCCCGGGGGCAGCTCGCACAACCCGCAACCACACTCTCGGCCCAACTGCAGAGCGAGAGAAATGACTTCAATTCGGGTCCTCCCGGAACTGCCGCCGCGTCCGCGCCGGGAGCCGCGTGGACCCCACAGCGCGGGTGACAGGGCCCGGCCTGCCGGAAGGATATTCTCGGCGCGGAGCTGCTCCAGGGTCTCCTCGCACTGCCGAAGCCGCTCCCGCAGCTCCGCGTCGCCGCCCCCATTCTCTTCCTCCTCCTCGTCGCCGTCGTCGTCCTTGAAGCGGGTGTGGACGGGCTTCGGAGTCGACTCCTCTGGGGGGTCAAACGCCTCGAACAGCTCTAGGTCGCCAAAATCCACTTCCGCCGCCATTTTGGGTGGTGGGAAAGATCGGAGGAGAGGCGGAGCCAGCCACGGGAGCTGGGGACGAAGGTTATAGGGCGGCACCACCGCTTTCTTCAGCTCCGACCCGCGCTGAGCTACCCGGTAGAGTTTTCTCCAAACGCGGGCCGCCACAACCGCACCAAGGGCGGGGCCAGTCATGAGGGACTACAGCTCCCAGAATACAACGGTGCTTCTCACGTTCATTCCAAGGTTGCCTAGGATCGTGGCTTGCCGAGACACGTGATTTCTAAGGGACTGTTCACTCATTGTTTGCATTGCATGCCGGGGTTGGTCATTTTTTAAGGTGAGGAAAGCCTGACTGGATAAGAATGCGTGAAAGTATGGATTGTCCCTGTTAGGCAACTAAAGCTGAAGAATCTGCCCGACACATGGTTTATTACAGATTCTGGTGTATGTGCTAAACAGTAACAAGAAAAAGGATTCTCATCTTTGCCACAGACTACCTTTGTGATTTTAAACTAGTTTATTGGGCTTTTTGTTTTTTTCCTTCGGTACCAGGGATCTGAACTCAGGACCTCGCGCTTGCGAGGCAGGCGCGATGCCACTGAGCTAAATCCCCAGCCTTGGGCTTTCCTTTTTTTATGGAAAATTAGCTAGGTAATTAGTCAATTTTAAATTTGTCTGTTGATTGTGGTGGTGCATGCCTGTAATTTCAGCACTCAGGAGGCTGAGGCAGGAAGGTCGCCCGAATTTGAGGCCAGCCTAGTTTACATAGTGAGTTCAAGGCCAGCCTGGACTGCATAGCGAGAATCTGCCTCAAAAAACCCAAAATATTTTTTTTGTTTTTTTAAAAACCCAAATTATTTGGGGCTGGGGATTTAGCTCAGTGACACGGCGCCTGCTTCAAAAGCGAAAGGTTCAGAGTTCGATCCCTGGTACAAAAGAAAGTCTTATTTTTTTGTTTTTTTGGTACAGGGGATTGAACTCGGGTCCTTGCGCTTGCACAGCAGGCAGCTGAAACCACTGAGCTAAATCCCCAGCCCCAAACAAAACAAAACAAAACAAAAAATGTCTGATGAGGCCTTCTGTAGTTTTTCATTCAGTTGCATTCAGTCATAATGTGTCAGGCACTTCTGTGGGATCTAAGGATAGTAAAACGTGCAAAATAGAGAAACTCTTGCTCTCAATGACACTTATACACAAGCCCAAGAAACAACAGAAGCTTCATAATTATGGATTTTCTGCTTTGCAGTCGAGCTGGGTGTTGAGGATTATTCCTCACATGAATGTGGAAAATACAAGAAATTGTCAGGTGTAGTGGAGCATGCAGGTATCAAGTTTGAGCCCAGCCAAGGAATTGAACAAGTAAAGTGCTGAGCCTCATTCAGTCTTTGTCTTTCTTGGGTTGGGGAGTGCGGACTGGAATATGCTAATTATGGGAAAGCTTTCCCCATGGATTCATCCAGACTCAAAAGTGGAGAAAGATCCGCAGGAACTCTGAGGTGGCCGTGTTACAGGAGCTGAATTTTGAGGCATATCTGGGTCTTCCAGCTTTCCTGCTGCCTCTTAATGAGGAAGATAACACAAACCTGGCCAGAGTTTTGACCAGCCACATCCACAATGGCCACCACTCCTCCATGTTCTGGATGCGGGTACCCTTAGTGGCACCAGAGGATGATATAATTAAAAATGCACCTCCTAAAATGTACCAATAAAGTTAATGGGGGAAAACAAAATGCACCAGGGCCGGGGATTTAGCTCAGTGGTTCCATTGCCTGCCTCGCAAGTGCAGGGACCCAAGTTTGATCCCCGGTACCAAAAAAAAAAAATGCACGAGTGCTCGCTTCGGCAGCACATATACTAAAAATGCACCAACTGCACACACAGGAATACAGTGGAGAGGAGAAAACATGGATATGGTGGCACGATTTCCAGACTTTGTGTGACTATAGCAAGAGAATTGCAGTAGCTCTTGAAATTGGGGCTGACCTCCCATCTAATCATGTCATTGACTGTTGGCTCGGGGAGCCCATCAAAGCAGCCATTCTTCCCACCAGCATTTTCCTGGCTAACAAGAAGGGATTTCCTGTTCTGAGACACACCGGAGGCTGATCTTCCGGCTCCTCAAATTGGACGTGCAGTTCATCATCACGGGCACCAACCACCACTCAGAAGGAATTCTGCTCCTACGTCCAGTACTTGGAATACTTAAGCCAGAACCGCCCTCCACCCAATGCCTATGAACTCTTTCCCAAGGGCTATGAAAACTGTCTGCAGTCCCCACGGCAGCCACTGATGGACAATTTGAACTCTCAGACACATGAAGTGTTTGAAAAGGACCCCATCAAATACTCTCAGTACCAGCAGGCCATCTATAAATGTCTGCTAGACCGAGTACCGGAAGAAGAGAAGGATACCAATGTCCAGGTACCAGTGGTGCTGGGAGCAGGCCAGGGTCCCCTTGTGAATGCTTCCCTGTGGGCTGCCAATCAGGCTGACCGGCGGATAAAGCTGTATCCTGTGGAGAAGAACCCAAATGCTGTGGTGACAGTGTAGAACCGGCAGTTTGAAGAATGGGGAAGCCAGGTGACAGTAGTCTCATCAGACATGAGGGAATGGGTGGCTCCAGAGAAAACAAACATCATTGTCAGGGAGCTTCTGGGCTCCGTTGCTGACAGTGAGCTGTCACCTGAGTGGATGGTGTTGGGAGCAATGCTACATAATTCTAGGGAAAAATCATTTGGTTAGCCTAGTTCTCTTGCCTACAGCCAAGCTACAGAATAACTCCAGTTTGGCCTCCGGTCACAACTGAGACTTCAGTGATCCAGTGATGCTGTGATTCTCCAGGACAAGAAACATCCTGGGAGAACAAACATCTGCTCAGTTCCTCATTGTTCTTGCGCTGATTAACATCTTGTTTGCCGGAGATGTACTGAACTCTCTGCAAGCCTTCCGTTACACCTTGTTTATCCCAATGTGAACTACTGAACTCTCTGCAAGTCATTTGTTACATTTGTTTCTCCCGATGTACTGCATAAAAGGTGTGGTAAGCTGGGGCCTTTTGTCTTTGCTGCCCAGAGCAGCACTGATCAGACCAAAAGCTCAGCTTCTTCTCAGTCTCATTTGTCTACCTTTCCTGTAATTCGCCGTGTGCTGCCGTGGCTCGCAGGAGACCAGGACTCACTGCAGAGGTTCTCGTAACGTCCGCTTCCCCTGTTCCCTACAGGATGGAGCACAGCACTTCCTGAAAGATGATGGTGTGAGCATCCCTGGGGAGTACACCTCCTTCCTGGCTCCCATCCCCTCCTCCAAACTGTACAATGAAGTCCGAGCCTGTCGGGAAAAGGACCGTGACCCTGAGGCCCAGTTTGAGATGCCTTATGTGGTACGGCTGCACAACTTCCACCAGCTCTCTGCACCCCAACCCTGTTTCACCTTCAGCCATCCTAACAGATCTATGATTGACAAGAACCGCTACTGCACCTTGGAGTTTCCCGTGGAGGTGAACACAGTGCTGCATGGCTTTGAAGGCTACTTTGAGACTATGCTCTGTCAGGACGTCACTCTGAGTATCCATCCAGAGACTCACTCTCCTGGGATATTCTCATGGTTTCCCATCCTTTTCCCCATTAAGCAGCCCATTATGGTGCATGAAGGCCAGACCATCTTTGTGCGTTTCTGGCGATGCAGCAGTTCCAAGAAGGTGTGGTATGAATGGGCTGTGACAGCACCGGTCTGCTGTGCTATTCACAACCCCACAGGCCGCTCATACACCATTGGCCTCTAGGCCTGTGTGCAAGGGTCTAGGGCCTTGGAAGCAGCCTTGATAGCACAAAAGGTGCAGTACACCTAAGGTTGCAGGACATCTGTGAAGCCCCTTGCCCATCAGAGAGGAGCAATCCAGTCTGCTTTCCTACCTTACATCAAGATGGGCAAAGGAGGGCTGGGGATTTAGCCCAGTGGTTCCGTCGCCTGCCCTGCAAGCGCAAGGACCCGAGTTCGATCTCCGGTACCAAAAAAAAAAAAAAAAAATGAGCAAAGGAGAATTAATTACAGGGCTCAAGCCAGCACTCTACAAAGGTCATGGGCCAGGGTGTGAGGAATTAGTAGTGTTGGATCTGAAGCTGCATCCACAGGCGCTCCAGCCTTAAGGACTTTGGGGAATAGCCCTGCGAACATGTGATTGAACGCATCTTCAGCTCTTTCCTTGCCCTCCTCTGTCCTTGTTTTGACTGTTTTGCATAAGAAGAAATACAAATAAAGTGAAGTTACGGCTCAAAAAAAAAAAAAAAAGTTTGAGCCCAGCCTGGGCAAATTAGCACTTTAGTAAGAACCTGTCTTAAAAAATAAAGCCTGGAAAAAAAAAATAAAGCCTGGGTTATAGCTCCATCCCCAGCACCCCCCCTCCAAAAAGTAGGGTTCAGATGGAATAAAGAACATCTTAGGCCAGTAAAATGGCATGTGGAATGGAAAGACAGAGTGTGTAGCAGGATGAAGGTGTAATGTTGTTAGACCAGTAGCCCAAACTGTGTGAGATCTTTTCCTTGACCTCCAATGCTGAGTTTAAAACATTTTATTTTTTTGAAACAGGGTCTTGGTATGTAATTCGGGCTGGACTCAAACTCTCAGCAATCTTTCTGCCTCTGCTTCCCGCGTGCTGAGTGGGGTTGCAGGCATGTGCCACCATGTCTGGCTCATTTAAACTTTTTTTTTTGGTACTGGGCTCAAACTCGCCTTTGAGGCAGGCATGGTGCCACTGAGCTAAATCCCTGACCCTCATTTAAACAGGTGGTATGTTTGTTACCAGCATGTTTTCATTTTGGTAAGATGGTCCTGATTAAAGGGTAGAGAACAGATTGGAGACAGAGCAAGAATGAAATTCTGAGGCAGTGATAGATTTTTGTACTTGTGTTAGCTAAAAATTAAGAAGTGTTCACTTGGGGCTAGGGATGAAATGCAGGGGCAGTGGCAGAGTGTTTGGCAGAGTCCAGCTCTGGGTTTAGCTCCAGAATGCCCCACAACACACACAGCCGGATTGGGCAGTGGGGATAGTGCTGTGGAGAACATTAGTCATTTAAAGTAGAAGAGAGGGGCCGGGATAAAGTAGAAGATACTTGAAAGATGAAACTAAATCAAGTGTTCCCATTTAATGATCAGATACTGAGTAATGAGAAAAGGGGCCATATACAGTTTGACAGAATTCTGACTTAAAACTGGTTGAGCAAATGGTCACTTGACACTGAGAACAACAGATATAGATCAGGTTTGCATGTGGTAACTTAAACCAATTTTAACCTGAAAGGTAATAGAGAAGTAGCC